TGTGAGGCCAAGGTGAGAGGATTGCCTGAGCCCGCAGGTTCAAGATCAGCCTGGGCAACTTGGCGAGACCTCATCTCTACAATAAATCAAAAAATTAGCTGGACATGGTGGCATGTGCCTGTAGTTTCAGCTGCTTGGAAGGCTGAGGCAGAAAGATCACCTGAGCCCAGCAGGTCGAGGCTGTGGTGACTGGGGACATGCCACTGCCCTCCAACCTGGGTGACAGAATGAGACTCCAACTAAAAACAAAACAAAACAAAAAAAACACTAGTGAGACCTTGGCATTCCCATGCTTCCTATCTCAAGTGGCTTCTTGTGGCATGTGGAATAAATCTAGGTGCCTTGTTGTGGCCTTCCTGATTTCATCTCCTGCTGCTGCTTTCTCCTTCCTTTGCTGTGCTCCAGCTGCACTGGTGTTCTTATTTCTTCTTCTTTTTTTTGAGTTGGAGTCTCACTTTGTCGCCCAGGCTGGAGTGCAGTGGCATGCTCACAGTCACTGCAACCTCGACCTGCTGGGCTCAGGTGATCCTTCCGCCTCAGTCTTCCAAGTAGCTGGACTACAGGCATGTGCCACCATGCCCAGCTAATTTTTTTATTTATTGTAGAAGTGAGGTGTTGCCAAATTGCCCAGGCTGGTCTCGAACCCCTGGGCTCAGGTAATCCTCTTGCCTCCACCTCCCAGAGCGCTGGGATTACAGGCATAAGCCACCACACCCAGTCTGTTTTTATTTTTTGAACTCACCTAGCTCAGTCCTGCTTCAGAGCCTTTGCACTGGCTGCTCCCTTTGTTAATGCTTTTCCCCTAAATCTTCAAATGGCTGGCTCCTTCTTTCAGCATTCAGCCTTAAGGTCACCTCAGAGAGGTCTTTCTGGCACCCCTTGTATAAATAATCTCTCACCCCTCCCCTTTTTCTTTTGAGTTGGAGTCTCACTCTGTCGCCCAGGCTGGAGTGCAGTGGCACACTCATGGCCACCCCAGCCTCGACCTGCTGGGCTCCAGCGATCCTTCCACCTCAGCCTTCCAAGTAGCCAGAACTACAAGGCGCATGCTACCACGCCCGGCTAATTTTTGATTTATTGTAGAGACGAAGTCTTGCCAAGTTGCCCTGGCTGGTCTCAAACCTGTGGGCTCAGGCAATGCACTCACCTCAGCCTCCCAGAGTATTAGGATTACAGGCTGAGCCACCGAGCCCAGCCCCTTCTGTCTCTTAACCCTGTTTTGTTTTCTTCACAGCTCCCCTTGTTTAAAATTATGTGTTGTCTGCCTCTTACCTAGAATGCCAGCCCATGAGGGCAGTCTTGTCAGTCTTATTTGCCGCTTTATCCCAAGGGTCTGGCACACAGCATGTGTTCAAATTCTTTGTTGGAATCGTTAAGGAGAGTGGGGAGAGAGAGCTTTCTGGGCAAAGGGAAAAGCGAAAGGCTCTAATGTTTATTCAGCTCCTATGATGGGCCTGACCCTAAGTATTTTGTTATTTAATTCTTGTAAGAACCCCCTTGAGCTGGGTACTCTTATTATCCCCATTTTGCCTATGGGAAAACACAATGCCAAGAGGTCAAGTAACTCACCCAGGAAACGGTAAAGCTAGAATTCAAACCCAGGTCGTTCCTCAAAGGCAGATGCATGTCTCTCTCTCTACCTTTCTCATATTTGAACTGGGCCTTCAACTCTAGGATTTCAGGCTGTGTGCAGTGGCTCACACCTATAAACCCAGCACTTTGGGAGGCCAAGGCGAGAGGACTGCTTGAGCCTAGGAGTTTGGGAAACATAGTGAGACCTCGTCTCTACAAAAAATAAAAAAATGAGCCCAATGTGGTAGCACACACCTGTAGTCCCAGCTACTGGGAGACTGAGGTGGAAGGATCACCTGAGCCCAGGAGGGTCATGGCTTTGGTGAGCCATGATCGTGCCACTGTACTCCCGCGTGGGCGACAGAGTGAGACCCCTGAGGACCTGTGGGCTGGGGTCCTGGTGAATGCTTAGCATCAGGGAGGTCAGCCCTGATCCTGAAAGGAATAGGATTTCAGCAAATGAAGAAGGAGAAGGGAGAGGGCATTCTGAACTGAGGGCAGAGCAGAAGCAAAATCGTGGGGAGTCGGATAGCCCAGTGGGTTTTGAAGACGGGTGAGCAGCCTGGTATGGCCACGGCTTTGGAAGGCCGGGACAGGAGCTCATGTTCTCTCCTGAGGGCAACGGAGCGCCATTGAAGGTTTTGAAGGAGGGCAAGCGGCATGACCGCATAGCACTCTTCCTTCCCTCTCACCAGTCCGTTGAGGAAGCCATGGGAACCCCCGGCCCTCACACATCAATCCCTCTCCCGTTTTTTAGGTTCATCCAGTGAGGACTGGAAGTTGAGGGCTCCAGGCCCAGACGTCGGAGTAGACCATGGCCGCCTGCCCATGGGGCCATGTATGTGGCTTCCTGCTGCTGTTGCTGCTGTCATCCCTAGGGGCTCGCCCTGCCCTGGGCAGGGGCCTTCCTAGGCCACTTGACCACTCAGAAACCCACCTGATCCCAGGAGCCCACTCCAAGAGCCCCATGGGCTCGGAGCCCCAGGCTTTTGACTTCTTCTGGGAGACCCACAGAGATGAGGGTCCCTGGAACTCCGATGCCCCCCATGCCCTTGCTGAAGAGATGCCTGAGAAGCCTGTAGCCTCTAACCTTGGCCCAGCCCTGCATGGGCCCAGAGCAGACCATGGGGTTCAGAGAGAGCGACTTCCAGTGACTGATGACCTCCAGATGGCTCGAGGGCCAAGCTCCCATGGCTGGACAGGATCTCCTGACTCACAGGAGCCCCTGGAGCAGGAAGCACTGGCTCCCCATCCCGTGGGGCCCCCTCATCTCACTTTCATCCCCACAACTCCTAGACTCCAACTCCGGGGAGCCACAGTTCCTCCCTCCCTGGAACCTGGAGGCCAAGTGGGACAGCGACCACCTAGAGATGAGGGTCTGAAGGCCAAAGCCAAGACCAGGATCCCGCACCCTTCTCCCTTGGACCACCAGGGCCCTCCCCCCACTCTTGTGTCCCACTCAGGCACTGTCAGGAGGCCAGTGCTGGAAGAACAGGATGGGCTTCAGGAGGACTTCCAGGAGGCAGCTCAAGGCCCCCTCTTCACCCAGCAGGAGCCGGCAGCCCATGGTGTTGGTCCGATATCCCCAGTTGAGGTGGCGTCTTCTCAGGAGCCTGGGACTCAGCCAGACTTGGCCTTGTCCGGAAGCCTTCCTCCTGCTGAGGAGCTGCCGCTGGAGCCCCCCAGGAAGGCTGGAGCTGGGGAGACCTGGGAAGTCAGCTCCCCAGGTCTTCCACCCAAGCAGGCTGACCTCCCTGATACTAAGGACTCACCAGGCCCCCAACCCGCAGGTCCGCCCATCTCAGAGGCTCCTGATGGCCCGCCCAAGCAAGGTGAGTATCACAGTGAGGGTGCTGAGCAGGGCTGGGAAGGGACAGTGTCCCAGGACAGCTGGATGCCCCAGTTCTGTCTGACCTCTACATCCCTCTGGTTCTCATTTTTCTCCTTCTGGCAGATGCGGGTGATTGTGCCTTTCTCCCGAGGGACTGGACTTTGGGGACCGCAGGAGGGTTGGGCAAGGTGACGACTGTTTGTGTCATTTCAGAGATAGCTGAAATAAATGGAGCAGATCCCATCTCCCCCCAGCGGGTGAGAGGAGCAGTGGAGGCCCCGGGCACCCCCAAGTCCCTTGTCCCTGGTCCCTCAGACCCTGGCCCAGCTACAAATGGAACAGAGAGCCCTGTGGGGGCCCTGCAGCCAGGTGAGGGCATGGCCGGGGGTTGGGGGAAAGGGCATACTTTGTCCAACAACCAAAAACATGTGACGGGTATATGGAGGGTGGGGGGTGGGGAGTGAATGGGGACACATGCCTGCTTAAAGGAATTGGCCAGGACCTTCTTCAAGCACCTTAGGATAATAAACTAATACTCACTGGGTACTCTGGGGCGAGAATGTTCTTATACGTAACATGGATGTATTTAGTGCAGTGATTCTCCAACTCCTACAGATCACTGGAGGCGCTTTTACAAATTCCAGTGTCCAGGCCACATCCCAAGAAATTCCTTGGTCTCCTGGTACTTCTAATATTCAGCCCCTGTAGGGTCCAACTTCCCTGATAATCTCATTCATAAAAATGATATCTCACTTCCACTTAGCACTTACTGGTGTTGGACACCGTGCTAAACATTTCATCCTCTCCACACCCAGTGAGGTGCTGTGACCTTCATGTTGCAGAGATACTGGAAAAGTTAAATAAGTTGCCGATCACACTAGAGAATGACAGAAAATTGAAAGCACTTTTCAAAGGGCTATTTTAATATTGTTATTGTTGCAGATGAAGCCGAGGAGTGGCCCGGGCGCCCCCAAAGCCATCCCCCAGCACCCCCAGTCCAGGCCCCCTCGACGTCACGCCGGGGCCTCATTCGAGTCACCACGCAGCGAGCCCTGGGCCAGCCTCTCCCTCCGGAGCCCTCAGCCAGCTCCACGGCTTCAGCCCCCGCCTCCAGCCCCCCAGCCAATGCCACCGCGCCTCCCCTGCGCTGGGGCCCCCTGCGGCGGGTGCTGAGCTTCTCCTGGGAGCTGCACGTCTACGGGGTGGGGGTGCTCTTCCTGCTGCCCGCGCTGTTGGCACTGGCCGCGCTGGCGGCCGCCCCGGCGGGACCCCGGC